CCCCCCATGCCCGCCCGCTCGCCCGCCGCGGTGCCCGGTGCCCGGTGCCCGCCGCCGCCGCCGCCCGCGCCGCCGCTGGCTCGCGACCGCGGGCAGCCGGAGCTCACATCCGGGGACGGAGGCGCTCGCTCGCTAGCTCCGCGCCCGCCGCGCCGCGCCGCACGCCGGCTTCGCCCTGGCGACGCTGCGCGCCCGCCGCCGCGTCCCCCTCCCTCCCCCTTCCCGCCCCGGGCCTCCCACGGGCCGCGCCGCGCCCCGGCGATCGGAGGCCGACCCGCGGCTCCCCCTGCACGGCCCGCGCGGTCGGGGTAGCCGCCGCGTGGGACTCGGGGGCCCGCCACCCCGGCCAGGCTGGGTTGACCCGCGGGCACCGAAGGGTTAAGCGCGCTCCAGCCGCGGGCCTCCCGCTTAACCCCCTCGGTACCGCGGCGTGCTCTCCCCTTCCCCCCGGCGGGGCCCGCGGATCCCGCCGAGGCCGGGTGCGGATTAACCGCTCCTCCCCCGGCATTTCTTCGGGGCCGGGGCCGGGGGACGCTTAGGCTCCCGCGGCTGGCCTCGGCTGTCGGCGTTGTCCTTCCCCGGAGCACACCTGGAGGAGGCCCCGCCCCCTGGGAGCACAGGTGCCGGCGGGCGGTTGTCGCTCGGTTGGCGAGGGGCTCTGCCCGGCTCCCAAACCGCTCCGGAGCCGGGCAGGAGCCCCCCCCCCCCGACACTTTTCCTCGGCTCTTTCCGATTGCGGGGGAGATGGGGGAGCCCGGCTGTCTGGAGAGCACTCGCCGCCCCAGGTAACAGCACCTTTAGATCTAACCTAGCTTCCAGAGTGTCCCTTATCCCACCCCGCCCAGCGCTGGGTCTGGCGCCGCTGTGGGCTCTAAGATGGTTGGGGGAGGGGGAGGACATCTCTCTTTCCCACTCCCTCCCTCCCTCTCCACCCCCACGTGTGTTAGGAGGCAGGTACTGGGAAGTAAAAGCCGAGGTCTTGCAAACTGCTTGTGTCGCGTAAAAAGAACAGGCAGTGCTGCTAGAAACTGCAGACTCCCGTTTGGGAGCTGAGGAGAGGAGTTTATTTTACGGTACCTTCACTGCCTCATTTTTGGGGGTGGGGGTTTTTGCAAACAGGCAGTTCCCGTCTGGAGGGGAAGCTACTGTCTCTAGTGCATGACTGATATTTCCCATTTAGCGTTGTGCTGGTTGTTGAATAAGGACTTCTGCTTTGTTACTTCACAAGATTCGATTTATTTGCTTTTCTGATCTGCATGTTCCTACAGCGTTTTAGAATGTTTGAGAACAACGTCTTTAAAGCGAAAATAAAGCAAAACGCTCAGCGTGAACTAGGAAATTAAGAGAAGGTGCTCCCTGGCCAAAGAAGGCACACTGGGCACCCTCAATTGTTGGGAGCCATCTGGGGAGAGAGAGAGGGGTACCAAACAGACGTTCCAGGGGCCTTCCAGAGAGGGGCACCGGGACCAGATGGATGGAAACATCCAACTTCCCTGTCCTTTTCTTTTTTGCTTTGTTTTTGGAGGGGACGAGAGACAAGGAAAGAGCCCTGAGGCCTAGTTAGTAATATTTATAAAGCTGGCCTGGGCCACCTCAACCAAGGCTGATTCTGAGCCCAAATCTGAAGGGACAGAAGCCAGTTCCCTTCAGAGAGTTTCCCATCCATGGACCCCTGAGTCCTGAAGCATGTTTAAAATTCACAAGTACACTTGTCACTTTCAGAACTCTAGGTGTAAAGCTTTGCCTCTTGAGACCTGTTCTGGAAAATCCCACCCTAATATTTGCTCACAATTCAGCCAGCATTCACAAGGCACCCGTTAAGAACAGGGTCTAGGCTAGGTGTTATGAGGATAAATCTATGGCACAGACCCTCCGTCAAGGACATACACTCTAGTAAAGGAAGAAAAGAGTGTGTGTATCTCTAATAATATTTAGAACATAGGAGCTATAACAGGTATGAAGAAAGTGTTATGCAAGCATCAAAGAGATTCATAATAAAGGGATCCTGAGATATTTTCACAAAAGAGATGGCATTTTAACTGATTCTTAAAAACTGACAGGGAGGGGAAGAGGGAGGGATAAGTAGGTGGAGGACAGGGCGATTTTAGGGCAATGAAGCTATTCTGTAATACTGTAATGGTGGCTATAGGACATTATTCTTATGCATTTGTCAAAACCCATAGTAGTGTACAACACAGAGTGAACCCTAGTGTAAACTATGGACTTTAGTTAAGAATAATGTATCGGGCTTCCCTGGTGGCGCAGTGGTTGGGAGTCTGCCTGCCGATGCAGGGGACAAGGGTTCATGCCCCGGTCCGGGAAGATCCCACATGCCGCGGAGCGGCTGGGCCCGTGAGCCATGGCCGCTGAGCCTGCGCGTCCGGAGCCTGTGCTCCGCAACGGGAGAGACCACAACAGTGAGAGGCCCGTGTACCGCAAAAAAAAAAGAATAATGTATCAATACTGGTTTATCAGTTGTAACAAATGGACCACACTAATGCAAGATGTTAATGAAAGGAGAAACTGTTGGGGGAGAGAGTTTATGGGAACTTTACTTTCTATGCAATCTTTCTGTAAACCTAAAAATGCCCTTAAAAATAAAGTCTATTAAAAACAGGTGATTAATTTTATAGTGCATAAATGGGGTAAGAGGAATGAGCTTTGGGGGAAAGAGTGAAGGCAAGGGAGACTGCTGTGCAGGACAGGATGTGTTTGAAAATTAGCAGGAGTGCAGAGCAGCTGAGGCGCAGGCCGCTGGGCCGGGGAAGGAAGGCTGTGATGGCCAACGAAACGTCAGTGAAGGAAGCCTTGCTGGCTTGCTAAAAAGACCAGATTTATCTTTTCTGCAGTGGGAGCCAGTGAAGGTGTTTAAGCTGAGAAGTGACAAGATTAAATTGTGACTTGGGTCTCCCAGTTTTACACTTTAGATCTTAATGAGTTTATGGAATTAGAATTTTTAACATTTTTCCATCCCAGCTTCTGAATCCCATCTTTGCCGTGTCTCCAGGAAGCTTTTTTTTTTTTTTTTTGAGGGCCTTCATTCAGCTTAGCACTGAATGCTTTGGCCCATTGGGTAATTTAAATACTTATATTCCCATGATAATGTGAATTACTGAATAAATAAATAATAATAGCTAATATTTTTAAAGGCCTCCTATGTGTCAGGCGCAAAAATAGGCACTTTACATGTATTACCACATGTAATTCTCATAACGAGGCTATGAGACAGGTACTATTAAACTATTAATACCCTCATTTTACAGATGACAAAACCAAGACACCGAGGAGTTAGGTAAACAGCCCAAAACCACACACAATTATTTAGTAGCTGAAACAATAAAACATGAGGAAAAGCTAGAATAAAAGATTTCACCTCTAAATCAGCCACACATGATAAGACCCAATTATGTCACTAACACACTACTGTGGAGTTTTAATCCCTAGGCCTTTATATATAAAACATTGCCATTTAAAGGCTCCACGCTGGCATTCTAGACGTGGTGACCTGCGTAAACTTCATTCCAAAAACCTTGCTGATTTCCCAGTCCAGAGCCTCACCTCCTCACACCCCTAGGCCATTAACTAGATGCCCCATCTCCATTCCTCCTCCCACAAATAGCCCATCTTTGGCTCAAAAAACACCATGTCACTTACCTAACCAAAAAAAAAAAAGCTGGTTCTTCCTTCCTTCCAAGTCCAATCTAAACTCCTCTAACCAGCTTTCAACCTTATCATTTCACACCATTCACCTTCACCATGGTCGGCAGCCTCCTCATTAGGCCGTGAACATGCTGTGCTCATTCCTGACTCTGCCCTGGCTTGTGTTTATTTGCTGACCCAAAATCCTGCCTTGCTGACCTCTAACTAAACCCTCCCTATTTAACGAGTCCCCAGCAAGTCCTTGCCTCCTCCCAGGAGCCTGCTCAGATTTCTCCAGCGACCGCAAACACGCACGTGTCCCGGCTCCCATCTCCCCTTCCCTAAAGGCCTACAGCACCTGGTTATTCCTTTGATTACATACCTTCTTGTGTCTTGTTTGATTGCTTTTTGGCTATAAATCCTGTCTCTCCAAGCACAGTTCAGGTCCTTCAGCAAGGGTCACCCCCTTAGCCCCCTTTCCCCCACTGCCAAGTGTTCTTCTCACAGCAGGCACTAAATACTCTGATTAATCTGCACAGGATCATAAAAGCCCACAGATATCGGTAGAAATTGTCAGCTAATATTTACAAAAATCCCATAAAGTTTATGGCAGGACACTTGGCCTTTAGATGGGAAAATATAAACAGAGGGAAAATTGGGTCCTTTGCACTCCAGGAATTCTAATCAAGGAAGACAAATAAACAGATCCTGAAGGCTATATGCACAGTATAGCCATAAACAGATTGTGACGTTGGGTCTAAATGAGTCTCTCCATCCTCAGGCCCTAAGGAGGTAGCTCTGACCCACTAACCACCAGACAGGTGGATAAAGGGGGTGTGGACATGTGTTCCAGGTAGAGGAATGGCATGCACAGAGTCAGGCAGACAAGTGCAGAACATGTGCAGAAACCAGTAAGTAGGTGGTTAGGCTGGAACCTGGGGTCACTACAGAGACAGTCGTGATAAGTGAGGTGGCAAAGGCAGGTTGGAGTAGAATGGAAGGAATCCCTAATATCTGGTTCACCAGTTTAGGTGTTGTCCTGTAGGCCAGTGATTCTCAAGCTTCTTGGTCTCAGAATCCTTTCACACTCTTAAAAATTATGGTAGGGACTTGCCTGGTGGCACAGTGGGTAAGACTCCGCACCTCCAATGCAAGGAGCCCAGGTTCAATCCCTGGTCGGGGAACTAGATCACGCGTGCATGCCACAACAAAGATCCTGTATGCCACAACTAAG